TAGAAATGCTCCTAACAGTGTCAGCTAGACCCGGATACAGTTTAGTTACGTATTGGTGTATTGGTTGAAACTGCAAATTTACCTTTGTATGATTACACAGACACAAACATATATTTCCACACCATAAACACCCCCCCCAACACACACACACACATACACGGTCCGCTAGCGTAGTAGTGGTTAGCGCACTCGGCTCACAACCGAGGGGCCAGGGTTCAATCCCCTGGGCGGACGGAGATTATTTGGGCGAGTCTCCTTTCACGTGTAGCCTCTGTTCACCTAGCAGTGAGTAGGTACGGGATGTAAGTCGAGAGGTTGTGACCTCGTTGTCCCGGTGTGTTGTGTGTGAGTGGTCTCGGTCCAACCCAAAGATTGGTCACTATGAGCTCTGAGCTCTTTCCATAGGGGAACGGCCGGCTGTCTCGAGAGAGACCAGCAGCAAACTGTGACAGTGAATTACACACACACTAAACACACACACACACACACACACACGTATACTTTTAGAAGAAGGGAGTATTGGAGTAACAAAAACTAACTCGTGTATACCCCCCAGCAGCCTTTTACAGCATCCTTATATTCTTATATTCTAACACACACACACACACAGATACATTTTCTAACGCAGACTCTCTCCTCAGGTCACGGCAAGAACCACAAGGATGCCGCTAGTGTCAGGGCAACCCACCCTATACCAGCCGCCTGCGGACTGTATGTCAAGATTGTTATCAACTCCCCTGACAGAAGGCATCAAGCTGTTCTTTACGGCATCTCAGGCCATCAGCTTCCCCCATAATGATCTTCCCTTGTAGGACTTCAATACACTCACTCGTGTTCTGTAGGGTGAGTGTGTGTACGTGTTGTGTGTGTGTGTCATCCTCCTCCCCTTCCTCCTCCTAACGTAAGTCTATCAGTGACAGAAATTCAAATTTTAGATACAAGACAATTTTAAACAATATTAATACTTTGGTTTAAACATTAGTAAGGATCAAAAATGTATTGCAAATTAAAAGATATATAATGTTGATGTAATATTTCAAGGATAATTGAAGAAAATTGATTCTCAATTTTTGGACCCCAAATTTTCCATATGAAATCAGGTTGAAAAAGTTTTTAGCTAATGTACTACAAAAATATTACTCCTAGAGCAAAAATGTATAGAACCAAATTTGTTAAGCTTGAATAGTTGTGTATAATGCTGTCTTCACCTATTCAATATTCTCCATAACTTTGGAGAAAATTTAAGTTTAGGGGAAAAATAAGATTAATCCTATTTTCCCTTCTTACATCTATAGTTTCATTCCAATTCCCTTTCACTATAGTTCAAAAGAACGGGCGTATCTTGCTCTTCATTTACTAATATAAACTTCTTTTACGTAAACCTAATAGTTTTCGAGTTATTAAATAAAACATGATTTCTGAAAAAAAGTCTAAGGTAGTACCTTGCAAAATTTCGTGCAAATTTTGACTTTTCAGAATTTCATTAAAATTGATACACAAGGGTTTTCAAACATGCTGATCACGAATCTGGACTCAGTTTTATGATTACTATCATGTTAAGGATTATTTGAGTGTTTTGTTTAATGTAAATTATTGAAATATCCATTATTTAAAGAGGAAGAGGAGAAGGAGGAAAAGGAGAGATCAATGCTTAGATACATAAGAGTGTGTATATTAAACCCTATCGTATCCCTTACAGGCATGAACAATCGGGAAGTAATAGAGCGCGTCCAATCAGGATATCGGATGGCCAAGCCTCCGCGCTGTCCTGATGAGCTGTACAAGGCAATGCTACACTGTTGGAACAAAGATCCCGACCACCGACCTACATTTGACTTCCTCCATCACTTCTTTGACGATTTCCAAGTGTCTTCAGAGGTGCCTTATCGCGACATTCATGATTAAATACCACCACCACCACCACCACTACTACTACAACTACTACAACTACTACTACTACTACTACTACTACTACTACTACTACTACTACTACTACTACTACTGCTGCTCCTACTGCTACTGTTACTACTGCCACGTACACACCCACCAAGCACGTACACAACTACCACCTACACACACGGCTTCAGAGGTGTCTCACCTAACTTAACCTATTGCAATATTCATGATTAAATACTTCCCTACCACTACCACCACTATTACCACTACTACTTA